CTGGCCGTTTAAAATTTCGTGCGACTTCCGCCCAAGTCGGAGAACTTTGAGCACACTGCAGAGTGCCTCTAAAGAAATCTGACTTGTGGCTGAGCTGATCGATAGACTGATCACCTATCGATTCTTCTCCCCGTCGCCGAGCGCAATCCCCGACGTACCCTTGTCCCGCTGGCTTGATTTGTGGATGGATGAGCTAGCCTGAGCCTTGCCAGCTGGAACAACTAACATAGTTGTTCATACGACCGGACCGTCAGTGTCGCAGCTACAAGCGGCGTAAGTAAAGTTTTGCAACCAATTAAGCCTTGTCTACGTCTCTATTCACCAGCCCGCCCAACGAACGAGTAATTATTAAATCACCTCGAGTCGGCTCTGGCCGTCCGAGACACTGCCAAGCATGCTGGGGAGCCCCCCACACTCCTGTTGGATGCTCCATGCGCTCCAGCATCTTAGCATTCACAAGCCACCTGGTACCTTGAGGTATGTAGAAAAAACATTTAAAGCTATGTCTATGTCCGAATCGTCGAATCTTTCCAAATCTCTCCTAATCAATTTGGAGGGTTCTGATTTGATTTGGAAAGATTAAATTCAATTCAGATTCGGAGATTCGGCCACCAAATCGGGAAGAGTCTCTGCCAAGTCAAATCAGGGATGGAAGCTTCACACAGCCCTACTAAGTAGATACCCACATGGGATGAAAAATTACTCTTTTGAAAATCAGGCACTAAATGGTCTGAAATAATAAAGTCATCCACTAATAGGTCAAATCCCCTTTTCTTACAGACCTTCTCTAACATCCCTTCCACTCCTCTAGAGTGGCCTCCGTTATGTTGTCACGGACCTTCCTTATACTCAGAGAAATTAAGAACACAGTTACTTGAAAAACATTTAAGCGCTTATGAACACTTGCTTGTTCTTGTCAAATCCTCCTAATATCTTCACCATGAGGCAATCTTCCTATATCACTAAGCTCTCCATTGGCTACGAAAATTCAAGAGATTAAATTAGATACATGTTAGAGCAAGTGGAACTTTCTCTTAGACCTGCACCCCTCTTCCGAAGTGACAAGATTCCATCAACGCTGCCTGCAGAAGATCCTTTGAATCCTGTGGGTAGACAGATGCACCAACATTAGCATCCTCTTGCAAGCAAACACCATGAGCATCAAGACAACGATCATCCAACATCAACTTTGCTGGGCCAGCCACATCATCCAGATGTCCAACTCCAGATTCTTGAAGCAAGTTTTATTCTCCCAGCTCAGTCAAGGCATACACTCAAGAGGAGGGCAGAAAAAATGTTTCAGGACATCCTCAAGGCCAGCTTGAAAAAATGCAACATCAATATCAACTTGTGGGAGACTATTGCCCAGAACTGCCCCAAATGGAGGGAGCCTGCTGCAAGGATCTCAGTACTTTCAAAGCTTACAATGATAACAGATGAAAAAATGGAAGTGACAGAAACAGCACGTTGTGGACCAAAGTAAGAACCCAGAGTCACCCACCCTGCACAGAAATGTGCCTGAACTGCAACAGAGTCTGTCGATCCTGGGTAGACCTTGTCAGCCATTTTCAGACCCAATCATGGAAGACAATCATCCTAGACTGTGAAGGATTGCTGATGATGTTGTAAAATAGATATTAAGTCTATTCAGTTGTAATTAGGGAACAGAAAGAAGGACAGAAAGATGGAACTTATTCTTTCCTCACTTGCATTTTAGTCCCACAGAAATTCATCCTGCTGTCACCCTGATTTACTCACTTTTAATCATCTTCCCTTGGAGGATAAAGTGTTTAAATGAGTGGAATTAGATCTAAAAATCTCTATTTTTGAACCAGAAAATTGTCCCTAACAAGCCAGGAGAGCTGGAGCATGATATAGCAATACAGAGGGGAAGGACTAGAATTTCTTTTGCCAACATGCTAGCGCTCTTTCATAAGTAATGTTAGTATAACAAAATTCAGTAGTTAAAATGGGAATGGAATTCAGGGGCCTTAACCAGACTGTGCCAACAAGGTGTCCGTAGTCCTTATAAGGGCTAGGAAACTTCACACATTTCAATTTTCATATCAGCCCAGTGAGGACTGGTATTACATAACCAGTGGTGACCCCAATGAGATCATTCTGTAGATTCTAATAAGACTCCAAAGGGCTGTGTCATGACCCAATGATTGTGTGCGCGCTCCGGCACTGCAGAATTATTTCCCGCCACATGGAGCTTTCTTTGCACGGTGCAATTCTCAGCTGCAGAGAGAAAACCCCGGTGCAAAGGAGTTCCCACCACCCGTATGTAAATTTGTTCCCCACTATTGGCTGTTTCTAAATTATTCCCACGTGGCGGCTAGCAATTGGCTCGCTAGCCATATAAAAGGTTAGAGCAGTTTCTGCCCAAGTTGTAGAGGACTCCACAACCATCTCGTGGGGACTCTGAGCACACGGCAGAGTAATAGAAACTTTGTGTGCGTCTCAGAGGAGTTCAGCGGCCTGATCACCCCCCAGCCTCTTCCCGTCTCGTTCGTTAAATTCTTCTTAAGACGTATGTACGGTTTTTGCCCGCTCGTCAAGGGTATCCAGAGCTCTGTCGTGTTTGTTTTTGCGGAGCCTAGCAAACTCTGTGTGTGTGTCTTCGGTGGAGCCTAGCAAACTCCACTTGTGTTTGTCTGTAACTGCAACTCAAGAAAGTTTTTCCTGCCTGCACCGCGACCACCTACGGTGTAAGTAAAACAATCTTTAATTAACCGCTACGAGTCTGTGCAAAAGTACCCGCCCTACCGTTGCGGGCTTCCAGCCACAGCCTGCCGCACGCCCCCGAAAGCCTCGGACTGCTCCCGGCCTGCACAGGCTGAAGCATTTATGCCCATGTTCCACGCTACAAATTTCCTCCTTAATCTCAAAGGAGGAAGTTACACTTCCAGTGCTTTCTCATTTGTGCATGCCTCCAAAGCTCCCCCCAGCAATGGCTTTTCAGAACAGAAGAGGCACCTGTGTAGAAAAAAAAAGTGTGCGCGAGTGCGTGTAAAACAAAATGTGTGTGCATGTTTATTTTATGAGGGAAATCCCACCAGATGCTGAAGGGTCATACTGGGATGGGTCATACTGGGAAGAGTCATACCTAGGATGTGGCCATTCACCTGAACCTATCCAGCCACAAATGCAAATTCACCATCATGTGGAAGGCGACTTTCTCTTGTGAAGATTTTTGTAAGTATCAGATACCTCCACTGCCTTGTAAGTAATCTCTCTCACCATCTGTGAGATTTCTGAAGATATGATCTAGTTCTTTGTGAAGGACTCCAGTTTAGTAAAATGCTTACATCTCAGAACAGAGCTGCATGAAGTGGAAGCTGTCAGACTTTTATAAAAGGATGTTTCCCCTGTGAATTTGTATCAAATTTCTTGTGATAAAAAAAGAATGCTAAAAAGCCACTACATTTTCTAAATTAATACTTTTTGAAAAACTGATCTCATTCATGCTTTCCTGGGATGACATAGGAAATGCTAATAATTACACAGAGCTTAAGTTTTCCATATTTTGACAAATAATTTGAACCAAAACATTTTTTGTTCAGATTTGCTGGAAACGGGTTTTTTTTGTTGTGGTTTGCTTTTTCCTCTTTCTCCTCCCTGCCCCTTAGTTTTCAGTTCTTCATCCAGAAAATTACAAACGCAAAGATAAAGAAGTTATTTTCAAGCAAGTGAATGACTTCCTAAGGTTGGTAGGATTAGTGTAATGGGTCCAGACATGAGGAAGAATGCTTTGTATTTGAAAGTTCAGTTAACTTAGTCCAACCATGCAGTTGGTCAAATAAAAGGTACCACTCCAAAGATTACTTGCCTCTTTCTAAAAGATCACCTTCTAGGATCAGAATTCTTGGCCCAGGTCAGCACATTTGCCCATGCGTCCCTCACAAGTCCACAAAGAAACATAGGTTTATTCAATAGCAGAAGTACAGGAAGGATATATCTATATCTATAGATTGGATCTAGTGACAATCTCCCTTGATCTGCGATTCTCAGATGGACTGACAAAAATTCTTACTTTTTATAAAGAATGGAAGGATGGAAGGGTAGACATGTTAAAACCCAACCTAACTGAAGAAGGCACAGGATGAAAGAGAGACTGAAAAACCAGACTTCTGATTATCATAAAGAGTTTGTGAGAAGCAACAGGTCATCTGCAGATCCTAGGAAGTTCAAAAGCCTGTAAACAAGATCAGGAGCACATAAGCATCCAGTTCCAAATGTTAATGGCTTATATCAGGGGTTAGCAACCTACAGCCCAGAGGCTGGGTATGGCTTATGGAGGTAGGGCTTTGGCAGCATTTGGCAGTGGAGGGGCCTTCTGCAGGTGCTCTCCCCTTGCCACCATAGGGACAAAGGCTTGCTGCAAGTGTTTCCCTTATGCTGCCAGGGAGACAAGCAGAAGTGGCAGCAAGTCCTAGTGACCACCCACCTCCAACCCAGGACTGGTTATTCTAGCCCACAGCCAGAAAAGATTCCTAACCCTAGGCGCATGTCGTTTCATGAGAGCAGGAAATAATGTGGCAGGAAGTTTAGGTCTCCTAAGTCAGTGTTGATCCTGGAAGATGTGGTACTGTAGAGGATGATTTGGGGAACTTGAAGGCTGTCAGAAAAGACCCTGAGGGCATATATAGGGACAGTAAAAAAGCATTTCTGCGAAGGGCCCTCTATAGTCAGAGTGTGGCTGGTGGAGGATAAATACATTTTGTGGGTGCTGCTGACTTTAGTAGGGTTACGGTGTCAATTTACATGACAAAATTTAAAATTATCTAAGTTATTTTTTAACTCAAAGCTGAGGATGAAAGAGAGACTGCAAAACCTGACCTGAAAAAGCTGAGTTTTGTGTATGTATATCTTACATACACAAAACTCAGATTTTATTCCTAAATAACCTATGTACATGAAAATTTCATTTGGAATTACAAATGTGTCCCATTAAATGAAAATACATCTTAGTAAAACTTTAATATAGAAGTAAATTAACTGCACAGTAAAAATACATCAAAACATTTCACTTTGATACATGTTTATTGGTGCCCTGCACTTTCAGTGTAGCAGGCTGGAGATGTAATAAAAAAAGGTTTCAAAATTTACTGATTCTATTTCATTTAACCCACTCTAAACAACCAGTGCTTTAGAGTTCAAAGAATTAACATTTTTACTGCCCATTACAAGCAAAATTTTAATATTAACTTTTCAGAGTTTGCTTATAACTCTGCTCTTTTAAAATTCTTTAGATACATTCCTCAAGGTAAACAAGAAATTTCAATCTGTCACAATCAAAATTGATAAGGCCTTCTTTACCCATTTTATATCACCTCCATTATTAGTTCATTGCAAAACACAATCTTATTTCATACTATAAATATCCATCCATGCACAAAACACAGGGGCCAGAAGTTACACATTAATATTTCATGTAGGCTTCCAAGACTTCCTTTACCCGCTGCAGGTTTGTGGGTACACTTAAAAAGATATCTTTAGACTTGGTCTACTTGGTCTTAAAATACAAATATACAATATCCATAAGCATAAAAAAGTAAAGCCTAGATTGCCTTACCATTTGTTATGAATTGCTAAACTCTTATACATGTACATTATAGCATCATGCTGATTAATATACATATTAGTTAAATATATCAATCATTAATTGGGATGTGGTCAAGTTTTGTTTGTGTTTTTTAATAAGAAACTGTTCATATACAAGTAAAAAAGATTTTTAATTTAAACTTACTTGGAACACCTGAACCAGATACACATCTGTAAACCCTGCTGAGATATTCAAGTTACATTGGGGCATAACCAGCTATGTGAAAGGAAATATAACTCCTCATTGGTGATATATAACGTATGCTATTTCCTAGAAAATGCAAATGATTAAATTCTAACATTTACATTTTCATATTTAGACATTTTAATTATTGTGTGTCTTCCAGCTTTCTCGATACTTTTAGTATCAGTTCATCACTGTCTATCAGAAACAACTCAGTACCTCAGTGTTGCCACAGATTTTCTAAATAAGGTAGATATACAGTACAAAGTGTAGATAGTGAAACAATTAAGCATGTATATACAGTATGTTGAAAGGCATTTTTGTGACCATTTTAGTAGAGTTTATAGAAAAGAATTAAGATAATTACCGGTTCTGTTGATATCACTGTATTGCAAACTTTCAAGCCACATTTTTATATTAAGCTTGTACTGCTTTGTATATTGTACAATAAAACAAAAATAAAGATCATTCTTAAGATGTGACACTTAATCACTGAACTGAGTAAGGTAACCAGCACAGGGCTTAATTTTCCTGAGGTTTGTAAGAATTTTTAAAGAAAATCACAGTGACCAGGCTAAACTGCAAACATACTGTTAAGTTTTAAATATACAGTTTATACAGAACAACTGTGCATGGTCATCTCACGATTATGCGTGTTCACACTGCTGATTCTTCTATATAACTCGCCATTGCATAATACTTGTATCTTTTCCACCTGTGGAGATGAGATGGGTGTCTTCACATAGAAAATCTACATTAGTTACATGACTACTATGTCCACCATATACATGGCTCGGAGCCTGGAAAACACCAATATAGGAGGTTATTAGTGAAGAAACTATAAATTACTTAAAAAAAATGTTTAGTGATGTACAACACTTAAACTACTATAAACTGTTGCATTATTTCTATTAATTCAATCAGGTGGTTTTAAAATGCATGCTTTATAATCAAGTTACACACACCTTTATCTATGTATAGTATTTTACTCATATAAAGAATTGTATAGATTCTTTTTTTTTTTTTACTTGTAGTTTCTTGTATTTTCCTTTTACTTAGGAGAGTAACATTTCCAATGCTTGTAAGGCTTTGCCAGACCAGACACTACCAAAGCGAATTCCTTACCCTAAATTGTGAACATGGATAGGAAAAGAGATGTACTTTGCCAAAATCATCCCCTGTTGATAGCAGTTTTCTGGCATGTGATCGACAGACAGCATTGATATCTGTTCCATCTGAACCTTCTGGCCATACACCTAAAAATGGAGTAACTGATTAAATATTTTTGCTATGCATACAAAATACACGTGTTAATTGATGTCCTAACAAAAACCTAAGCTATGAGGTCACTGTAAATAAAAAACCTAAAAACACGACTAGTGATTTAGGCCCTAAATGTATTTGCCTAACTTTAAGCTTATAAATAAGAATGATGATCTGAGGGTGTAGACAGACATTTGAAACATTTAAAAAAATGGAACATTTCAACTGATAACAGATATACAACCCCCTACTCCCCTTCAAAACTGCTGTACTAGCAGGCAACAGCAGTGCTTTCCAGCCAGGGGGCACAACAGGGGACTGCTCGGCCCTTTGCCTCTGTTCTCTTCCTCTTCACCCCCATGACAGGGGAGGGGAAGGGGGGAAGCAGGGCAGACTGTCAGCGACCACTGCTCGCACCTTCACCACTGCTGGCACCCCAGGCTCTTTGTCTGCAGCACCTAGAGTGCAGGAAGTCCACAGGAGGCCCGCAACGGCTGGAGTGTGGGAAAACTGTGGCACCCTGAGTGCTCAGACAGCCAGTAGCCATAGGCCTTATACAGCTCACTGGAAGATTATTACAATATACAGCCCACTGCACTTTTTTCACAAATCCAATCTAAAGTACCACTTTGGTTGCTTACAAGAAATGACATTATTAAAATATTGATAACATAATTAATGGAGGCATCAACAAGATATAACCATGTTATAATGGAGTTGTTAAATGCTTTTGTTACTCACTGCAGACCAGTACTGATTGTTGCTCTCATACCTATGGGTGCATCCAGGATCTTGTAGGATGGGGTGGGGAACCAGCAACTAGTGCTGCAGGGATGGCCCCATCCCCACTCCCAACTACCCCACACCACTGGGGCCAGCAGACTGTCCCACAGGACCAGCAGCCACGGTCTTTTCTTAAGTCCCTCAATCAGGTAAGAATCTTCCTTCCCCCCTTCTTTCTCCCTTGTGTTTAGCAGCATGTCTTCTCCCCTTCCCAGCTGTTCCCTCCCATTACCCCTCTCCCCTGCCCACTGCTGTCACTGCCCCTGCTGTGTGGGGGTGATCTGGGGGCAGGAAGGCTGCCGCACTCCAGCCAGGCTGCATATGCTCAGTCAGAGACAACAGCAGCATGCAGGTTCTCTTCCCCCCTCCCTCTCGCACCTGCTCCCAGGTTACAGGGAACACCTGGGGAGACCAGGCAGGGAAGAGAAACCTGACTGCTACTGCTGCTGTCCCTGGCTGAGCATGGCTTGCTGTGGAGCCCAGCTGGAGCGGGGCAAATGAGGCTGCTGAGCCTCCCCCTCCTCTACCCACCCAGGTCAGCTGAGATATCAGGAGCAGTGGATGAGGGAGCTGGAAGGGGACACAACATGCTATAGAGAAAGGAGTGGGAGGAGGGGGGATTCTTACTTCCTTTGGGGACTTAAAAAAAGTCCCTCATTTGTTCCCACAGCATTGACTGAAAGGGGAATGAAAGGGGAATGCCACTTCCCCACTCTGGATCTGGCCCAATTAACCTCTAAATTAGGTTGTTAGCTCTTCAGTGCATAGACCACATTTGCATATATGGTCTGTAAAGTCCATGAATGCTTGTGTGGTGTAAAACATAATACAACACAAATGAATATGAAAACGTTACTGTTTGTACAGTCATATACAGACTTTTCTGCATCCTAAGTGTTTTTTATTGACTTTCATACTTCAGATTTTATCTGCTCCCTCACTCAGCAAAAAAGGCTACTTAACTGTGAGAGTCCACTCAGAACAAGTTGATTTTTCTTTGTTTTGTTAAATATTTAGAACTGGAACACTAAATATCATAATTAAGTGACTTCCCCTGCTTATAAACCCATACAGGTTGCAAAACCTTAAGCAGAAAGTGGTTTCAGGTTTTAATCACTGACGCACCTTATATTTTGTATAAATATGCTATACAGAATAAATCAAAACAGTTTTGTGGTTACTACAAACAAAATGGCAAAATAGGAAAGTATTATTCCCCAAAGTCCCACTGATTTCACCAAGACTCTGCAAGTGTCCATTTGTAAGACAGGAAAGCACAAAAAAATGAAGAGGGACATGCATGAGAAAGATAAAGAAGTGGTCATTTGATATAGTAGCATTAGAATAATGTTGTAGCCATGAGGGTCCAGGAATTGAAAGGGGCAAGGATTTACTTGGGGTGATATCTTTTATTCCAACCATGCAGTTGGGAGATCTCATTGATAAAAAAGTGCCAACAAAAGGGGGAAAAAAGAGGTCAGTAGAGTTCTGGCTACATAGCAGAGCAATTAATTACAGCAGTGGGGGCTGGGGTTCAGGAGCAACACAGTGCGGGATGCCTGGAGTACCAACCAAACCCATGTCACGTACCACTTCGTGTCCACACATAACATAACATTGAATCAGTTCTCCGTGAACAGATTCAAAATATTACTTGATTTTGAGATGTTCCAGGTGGATTTAAACCAGTTTAACAGGCCTGCCTGCTTCAGGTTAAAACTGCATTTAAACTATTCTAACTGTCCATAACCTCAGGGTGTGTACAGAAAACACCTGAACCATTCCAAAAATTTCACCGATTGGGAACTGTTTCATAACTTGTCCCTGGAAAGAATAGCCTATGCATATGCTGTTAAGGGTTCCAAGTACAACCCTTGCCTTTTCATAGTTTCATAGTAGCTAGGGTCAGGAGGGACCTGAACAGATCATCTAGCCCGACCCCCTGCCACAGGCAGGAATGAATGCTGGGTTCACAAGACCCCAGTCAGGTGATCGTCCAACCCTCTCTTGAATTTGCCCAGTTAGGGGCGAGGACCACTTCCCTAGAAAGTTGGTTCCAGATTTTGGCAACCCTAACTGTAAAATATTGCCTTCTGATCTCTAACCTAAACCTATTCTCCATCAGCTTATTACCATTGTTCCTTGTCACCCCAGGTGGTGCTGGGGAGAATAGGGCTCTTTTCTATTTGCTGTTGATCTCCCCTGATGAGCTTGTGGGAAGCCACCAGGTCCCCCCTCAGCCTCCTCTTGCTGAGGCTGAACAAGTTCAGGTCCCTCAGTCTCTCCTCATAGGGCCTGTCTTGCTGCCCTCTCACCAAGCGGGTGGCCCTCCTCTGAACCCTCTCCAGGCTGGCCACATCCCTTTTGAAGTGCGGTGCCCAGAACTGGATGCAGTACTCCAACTGCGGCCTGACCAAAGTCGCATAGAGGGGGAGTATCACCTCTCTGGACCGGCTTGAGATGCACCTTTGGATGCATGACAAGGTATGGCTGGCCTTGCTGGCTGCGGTATGGCATTGGCGGCTCATGTTCATCTTGGAGTCAATAATGACTCCAAGATCCCTTTCCGCCTCTGTGCTTTCAAGAAGGGAACTCCCCAGCCTGTATGTATGCTGTGGATTCCTTCTCCCAAGGTGTAGCACCCTGCATTTGTCTATGTTGAACTCCATCCTATTCTCATCTGCCCACTTTTGTAGTCTAAATCTAGTTGCAGTCCTCTCTCTCCCTTCAAGTGTGTCCACCTTGCCCCACATTTTAGTGTCATCAGCAAACTTGGACAGCGTGCTTTCCATCCCCATGTCTGAGTCGCTGATGAAGATGTTAAACAGTGCGGGCCCGAGGACCAAGCCCTGGGGGACCCCACTGCTCACATCTCGCCAGGTTGAGTACAACCCATCCACCACTACTCTCTGGGTGCACCCCACCAGCCTGCTGCCTAGCCCCGCACTTTAGCACCCTCATTCCCCAGCCAGCCCTGGCACTGCCCGATGCCACCACCTGGAGCCCAGGGCTGACCCCTCAGAATCCGCTGCCAGCCTGGGGCTGCTCTACCCTGGCTCAAACTGCTGTGGTCTTGGGTACATGTGTAGACACTGCATCCAGGAGCAGCTGACTCCAGCACGGCACGAACTGTGCCAGAGTTTATCAAGTCACCTTAACGGCACATGTAGATGCACCCACTGAATTGACAGCCATTCTATTCTACTGTGGTCCCATTGTGCAATGGCTCTGTTCCCCCACCCCACCACCACCACCCCAGAATTGACAGATGTGCCCATGTCAGTAGGCAACCACCCGCCCACCACTACAAAGACTGCCCTTCCCCACAAAACCTGGCTATCCCCTCACTCCAAGTAAGCCTGGAACCCCCACCCAAGGCCCCTAGCAGGGAAGTGAAACTGATACATGGCACCCCTGCAGACTGTTGTTTCTGTAGGCAATAGACCTTTGGGCAGTCCTGGTTGCATCTTGGAGCAGTCCTATTGCTATTTAAAGCACACTGAAGCAAAGGAAAAATTGTGGGCTGCTCGCAGTGCTTGATTCCATTTTTGCAGTTGTTTCATTGCAAGACCCCCACCTCACTGCTGACTGGCTGAAAGGGCTGCCTTTCATACAGCCCCATCCCTCACCACTGATTGGCAGATGGTTGCCCTTCATGTGGTCCCCACCCTCACCACTGGCTGAAGGAGAGGGTTGGGGCTGCACAAAAGACAGCCCTCTTGACCATTCAGCAGTGGAGGGAGCAGCATGGCACCCCTCCCCGCCATCCACTACTCTTTGTGCTGTTGGCAGTGTAGCTGGCATAGGGGTCCCAGTGGTGGTGACAGCAATAAGCCTCACTGCCCCACTTTGCCTTCCCATGCTGGGTCCTGCCTGCCGGGCCACAGAGGTGGCTCCTGCCCATGCCTGTCCAGCTATCGTGCAGCCCCATGCCCACTGTGGCTGCCCAAGTATGGGGGTGGGCATGTGCCCCCCCCATGCCTCACACCCCCACCTGCCTCACACACTGGGGTCTAAGGCCGGGGGGCAGGGGGCTGTGGGTTGGGAGTGTGGGGCATCAGCAGGGCCAGGGGACTGTTTTCTACTTAAACTATTTACTGGGTTGGGTCTGGCCATCAATGTTTACAAATGGGTCCGGTTACAAAAAAGGTTGAGAACCACTATTCTAAGGCTTATATCTGTCCACACCCTTAGGGTATGCACAAAGAAT